CTCCCGTCCCGGGGAGGGCCCTGTGGCTCTCCCTGGAAGGAGAAGGCTACACTGGAGCTGCGCGAGGGGCTGGCGGCGGGCAGGGAGATCCGAGGCTGCGGCACCCGGACCGGTGGAGCTCAGGCAAACCACAGAGGTAATGTGTTGTGAGAGTGTGCTGGTCAGCAGCGCTTCCGACCCCATCCAGCCCGTCCTCCTCCCACCTGCAAGGCTGCCGGTGGGCAGAGACGCCACTCCACAGGTCCCTGGGACTCCACCACCCGCCCCACGAGGACCGCAGCCAAGCAAACTTCTGCCTCTACGCTTGAGTAAAAGGCTTTCGGCAGGCCTAGTCTGCACATCGGCCTGACGACTACCAGGTACTACACGTCTCCTTAACTGGAAAAGGGAGAAGAGGAAAAGAGAAAGCCAGCCAGCTGCTGGAGCCCACCGTGTTCCAGTGTGAGAACTACTATTCAGTTGGCAGGACACACACGCGCGCACACACACACACGCACACCAACACAGTCCAGTTAATTCAAGTCTCCTTTGGTTGTAGAAGAGTTAAGCCAGAAGCTACCCAAGAGGAAGGTGTCGAGAAGGGTCCCGATACAGCTACAGCACCCTTGCCTCCACGCTGCATAGCGAACGGCACAGGCTTCACTTGCAGCTCGGCAGCGCGTCCTGCTGCTGGGAAGACCAGGTATGAAGCGAACACATCCGGAACATGTCTGAGGCAAGGGGAGAAAAGGCTGCTCAGTCTGCTGGCGCACGGTGACGACAGAAGTCAAGAAGAGACTGGATGGAAATCTGAAAGGGAGCACCACCACCCTGCCAGGGCGGTGCTCAGCACCTCGGGGAAACCCACGCTGCCCTACTCTGCTATTGCTGCTTTGCAGGTCGCAATGTTTTCAAGTGCAGGAAACACTCTGCGTGTCCTGTGCTAAAGAATTAAGACACAAGAACAAAAAAAATGCCAGATCATTTCTTCCAAGATCTCTCTTTTCCCTGACCTCCTTCAGATTCTCCATTTCTCGGGCCTGGCCAGTCGCAGCTGCGTACAAAGGAGCCTGCATGGACATTGTCTATTGCTGGAGAAAACTGCACTGAGCGAGCGCAGCGGGCTCCTCGTCCAGCTCCGCTGGAGACGGTACCTGTCCTTCAGTGAACCACGCACGCAGCACGTCCCAGCGAACACAAGGACAAACCTCGCAAAGCAACACCCTGCAGGGACAGAGACCTGGGCAGACAGCAGATAAACCCCTTCCTCTGCTTCTACAGAGTCCAGCGAGGGCGTACAACACCTGACTGCTCACTGCCTGATCCCTGGAACGTCTCGGCTCCCAGGGCAGCCTGACTGATCTGCTTCCTCTAAATACAGTAACAAGAGCAGGGACCCTAGCTGTACCCGGGAACCCGCCTACGAATCAGACCAGGAGCTCAAACACACTGGATCAGTAATGTGACCATTTCAATGGAATTGGAGATTTTTACCCAGAGTGGACTCTTTATTTCAGCTTTGCCGTTTGTAAAAGGAAGAGGAAAAGGTCACAGATGCTCTCTCCCTTCATCTGGGCCACACTCAGACTTAAGAGAAGGTCTTTGCTCATGTCACAAGAGAATATGGATGGGATGTGCATGGGTTAGGGGCTGGGCTCAGGGAAGTGAATAAAAAAAAACAAAACAAAGATCCCCCTCCCTAAACATTAAAAGACTGAATCCTGCCTCCCGTATTCACCAACCTCACTTTGGCTCTGAGTCGGCCAACTCACGACAGACAGAATCCTGGTTACGGGCTAGCGCTGTGTTTTGTTCAGGCAAAGGGTCCTGCCCCCGAGGAGTCTGTATTTTTCCACTCAGCCAAGAAATCTGGTCAGCTTTCTGAATGTTCGTGACAATCTCTGGTCAGTTGTCTGAATGTTCGTGACAATCCACTGCACCTGCTCCGGGGGCACCGGCGCTTCCCTGGCTGGCCGCGGGGTCTGCTCAAACGCACGCAATCTCTCTGACGGCCAAGGGGTTTGCTCTGCAGGGGCTGGGGCCACTTCCCAGCTGGGTTGAAGGGTTGGCTCTGGTAGCTTCTCTGCTGTCCGGGGAGGCTGCTCTGCAGGCGTCAGGGCTTTTGCAGTGGGCCAGTGGGTTTGCTCATGCGTCTGTATTTTCTCTGTAGGCCAAGGTACCTGTCCGACATGCGTCACCACCTTCCCAACAGACCAAGAGATTTGCTCGCCAACTAACATGGTCCTCTCTTTCTGCTGGGGACTCAGCTCCACGGCCGGGGCTCCTCTCTCCTTCGGCTGAGCGTTCTGGTCCACGGGCCGCAGCGCCTTCTCCGACAGCAACAGCCTTGGAGCCGATGCAGGCGGAGGCTTGTCCAAGGCTTGGGCCGCAGCACCCCTGGAGCGAGCACTTTCTGCGCGAGCGGGATCCGCAGGGCCCCCGAGCCAAGAGTCTTCTCCATGGGCAGGATGTGCGGTGACCGGGAGCCAGGGACCTTCTCTGGAGGCAGGGGCCGTGGTGCCCCTAAGCTGGGAGCCTTCTCCGTGGGCAGGATCCGTGGCACACCCAAGGCAGGAGCCTTCTCTGGAGGCAGGGGACAGGGCACCCCTAAGCTGGGAGCCTTCTCAGGCACCCGCACTGCCCCGGAGAAGGAAGCCTTCTCCGGAGGCAAGGGCCTTGGCACAGCCGATCCAGGAGCCTTCTCCGTGGGCAGGATCCGTGAGATCGGGGAGCCAGGGACTTCTTCCATGGGCAGAGGCCACAGCACCCCAGGGCCGGGAGCCTGCTCCAACGCCGGGACCTGTGGCACCACGGAGCTGGGAGCCTTTTCCACAGACTGAGGCTGTGGACTCTGCACAAAAGCTTTGTCCAACGGCTGAGGCTGATCGGCCACGGGAAGCTCAGCCACCAGCTGGGACTGCAGAGTCCCCGCTGTGGCAAGAAGTCTGTCCGACAGTTGAGGATGAAGGCATTTCATTGGGAACTCCTCCAGCAGCTCGGGCTGCTGGGTCCTGGTGTCAACGAGAGACTTGTCCGATAACCCCAGGATCCTGGGGGCAGCAGAAGGCTCATCCGGCAGCTGGAGCTGCAGGGCACCAGCAGTAACCAGCGACTCATCTGACGACTGCGGAGTTCCCGGAGGAGATTTGCTCGGCAAATGAGGCTGTGAGGCATCACTGGAGGACTCGTCCAGTGGCCACAGCACCGCGTTGGTGGGAGGTTTGTCAGGCTGCTGGGGCCTCAGCGCTACGATGATGGGTTGCTTCTCTGACTGCAGCCTTAGGGACAGGGCAGCCTGGGGCCTGTCCGACGGCTGCAGGCGGAGCGAGAGGGTGGTGGGAGGTTTGTCCGAAGGCTGCAGGCGGAGCGAGAGGGTGGTAGGGGGTTTGTTGGATGGCTTCAGCCTCAGTGACAAGGTGGTGGGGGGTTTATTTGTCGGTGGCAGTCTCAGCGCCAGGGTGGCGGGTGGTTTGTCTGGTGAAGGCAGCCTGAGGGCCAGGGTGGTGGGGGGCTTGTTTGACGGCTGCAGCCTCAGGGCCAGGTCTGTGTCTGCGGGTGGCTGCTCTGGCGGCTGGGTCTCCTCCTCATCGTTAGTCAGGTCTCCTATGGGAGGCACATACTCACGAATTTCTCCTGGCTCTAGAGGGTTGGGCCCGCAGGGATCATGCTCCGTGCAGCATAAACGTCCATCCAGCTTGGAGATGAAGAGCATGCCTTCCCGGTGCTGCTTGCAGAAGGACCTGGGGCACATCTCGCAGAAGGAAGCTGCTTCCTTACCACACATATCACACTGATGCCATGGGCACTCCCATTTTCCTGCAGCACAGACACAGGAGAAAAGACATACCTTAGGAGTGGTACAAGGGGAAGAGTCAAGGCCTGCTGTAAAGGGAGTTCAAGGGCGAGGGGGAACACCCCTGCAACACTCCAGTAAAATTCTATGTGTCCTCCGCAGTTTCTGCCATAGGTCCCAGGCTCGATGGGCAGTTAACAGGAACGTGCATCCTTGGAAGCACCAAGGGCAATTATAAGAATGGCAAACACAAGCCATGCCAGGTCAGATCAAAAGCCCATCTGGCTCCAGCACAGCACTAACCAATACGGGTGCCTAGAGGAGTGCAGACACCCCCAGCATGCACACCTCTGGGGCTCTGATTTGCACAGACAACAACAGTGGTATCTGTGTAGAATACACCCATTTTCAGTAGATGCGTCAGATTCATCTAAGTCTTTGTTAATTCCTGGCCAACAACCTCCCTTCCTGTTTATCCGAAAGAAGAAGTGAGAGGGAAGCGATCACAAGGGAGTAAGTTTCTACTGTCTCTATACCCAAAGGCATCTTTCTTAACCTCTGTGTAGTATGGCCATAATAAAATTACCGCTTAACACAAAGCCAAGCTGCTCCCCAAGGAGCTCCATGTCCACGCTGAATCTATTCACCATCAGTATCAACACCATCACGGAGGAAAGAAACAACACTACACTTCATAGATTGCTGCTTTTTTCAGCTATAGATGAGCTCACTGGTTCAGCCCCCTGCTCCCGCAGCCAAGGTTACTGCTGTCTCTGCCAAACGCTTCTCACCATTTCACGGACACCAGGAACAGCGAGACCATTTGCACCCAGGATACACGATGCTGAGTTCCTCACCTCTCACCACAGGACCAGCACGGCTGTCTTTCCAAATACGCCTGCTGCCTCCATGCTGCCCCGCACCCCGTGGCCTCCCCGGCTCCCTGCCTTGCTGCCAAGAGCAGCTCCCTGCAGAACAGCCCTCACACGGGCACAAGCAACGACGGAGGGCAGCCGAGGACACCAGCTGGGCCAGAGCACTTCCCAGCCTCCCTGAACCAAGCCCACACATCTGTGGCTTTGGCTACCAGCTCTTTTCCATGGAGGCTGGAAGACAGCGCAACTGCAGCACGGCACTGAGGGCTGCGGGCATTTCTCCATGTGCAACATCAGCTTTCCACTCGCCTCTCTCATGCTGCTTCTCCTGTGGGGTTGAAGACAACTTGTAGCATGTTTTCCCCTCCTTTGAAGCCACTCCAAGGCTTGTGTTCCGGACTCAAAATATATATACTGCTTTTCTGCATCTTCTCCAATTTTTCAGCATCCTTTTCAGATTGGGGATGTTTAACACTACACGTGGGTTTCCCTCTTCCAGGCTTGCAGCGCTGCAGCACAGGCTGTGGCTGCTCCCTCCACACCGTCAGCAACCCAGAGAGCCACACTCAACACTCACCTCGGCCACTGGCAAGACTCTGGGACTCTTATTATAAGCAGCCATTTGTACGGATAGAAAATAAAATAAGTCAAAACCTGCCAGTACGTTGCAGGATGGATAATTCCTATCAAATCACCCTTAACGGTCTTTGACAGGATAAAAGGCCGAATGAATAAGCAGCCTCTCCAGAGAGAGCCCGGAGCAGGGGAGCTCTCGAATCACACAATTAAGATCACACAATTAGTAACATGCAAACAAGCAGGAAATTCCAATTACTCGACAGCAATGCCTGTGGCAGAAGAAACATTTGAAGTAAAAAGCGCTAAGCCTTTCATGTCCTGTGCGATACTCTAAGGAACAGGCTACAAAAATAAAGACTTACGTGTAAAAATGGTAAAATGGCTACAACTGGCTGAAAAACATCCTCAGAAAAATGCTACTAATGGTCTTCTGGCTGAACTGAGGGGACATTTCATATGACATCCTTCAGGAGTCTATTTTAGTCTGTATTATAATTTAAATTCCTGGAAGTAGAACAGCAAACACTCTTACAGAAATGGGTAGATAACAACAATGCTGTGAGGAATTGGAAAAATCTGGTTGGACAGGCTCAGAATTTAAACTGGACAGATGCTCTTACACCAACAAGGTGGAATTAAAGACCAGTGCAAAGCAGGACTGCAGGAGGAAGAAAGAAAATAAATATGTGAAAAGGTACAAGCCAAGTACAAGGATGATGGGGCAAATCACATACATCACAGACACACAAGAAGTTACTTTAGAAAAACAAGACAAATCTCATTTCCTAAGATATTTTCTGTAAAACGCAAGATATAATTATTCTGTCCTGTCAGTGTTAGCAAGGCCTCAGCTACAATGCTGTTACTCTTGTCATCACAGTTTAAAAAATGTGTAGACAGGTGGGACACAGTCCAGAGCAGATTAAGAATAATAATTTTTAAAAATGAAGAGCTGCAAGGAGAGGCTGTGTTTGTTTAAGCTGGAAAAGGACTAAGGAGATAACAGTCTCCCACCGTGTAAAAAAAAAAAAGAAAAGAAAAAAAAATAGGTATCAGAGAGATGGCAATCCTTTGTTTTTTCAAGTCAGGCTGTTAGGAGAAACTTTTCAAATGGAAAGCAGGGGAACAGACTAAATACTGGATTCTCCTTTACTGGAGACGTTAAAGCATGGGAAAACAGAATCACAGAATGTTCGGGGTTGGCAGGGCCCTCTGTGGGTCACCCAGCCCAACCTCCTGCCGAAGCAGGGTCACCCAGAGCAGGCTGCACAGCACCGCGGCCAGCCGGGGGTGGACTATCTGCAAAGCAGGGGCCTGGACACC